TTTTAATCTCTGCTGTCTATTAATCAAATCTCAATTCATACATTAGTCCCGTGCACATTAATTTTGTCTACTAATTGCTTCATTGCTGCAGCAGTAATAATTTGAATTGATTTCTCCTCAATATAATCCAGCATTTATGTTACAAAGTTTGGGTTCTATACAAATATTGCTGTCACTGTTACGTCTCACTATTCTCAACAGTAGGAAATAATCATACTTTTAGATACGAACATATTAAGTTAGGTAACATAATGTTTCTTTCTTGCATTTCATCATTTCAGGTGAAATTATCCACCTTGTGGCTTTACTGTACTGCAGTAAGTGTACCAATGAGTGATGTGGTCCTCTGGATATACATGATTATGTATGCATGACAATAACATTTCTAAATACTTTTGGAATAACAATGCGTTCGGGTGTAAGTGGGCATTCACTTTGAATTGAGCAGAGCTGATGTGGTGTCATTATCAATTTTTCATTTATAGTAAAAGGTAACTAACTTTGTTGCCCATCTTTTCTGCTAATCAGGTTAGCCGGAATCAGACCCTAGTCCATGAACAACCATGTTATTATACTTTCAATACTAAGCAGAAGTTAAGACTCAAACTTGTGTATGCCCATTCTTGTGGTCATCATGACTAGAGTGTAAATCCTAACATTTCACATCAGCACATGAGAAAGAATGAAACTAGTGCTAACACTTCAAATTATTCCACAACATTTGGAAGATGTTCTGTACCGTGTAAGCCACTGCTTTGACATAATAAACAATTATCCCTTTCCTAATTGACTGTAATAGCCGCACACAACGTAGTCTCAACAGAAATTCCAGCTGCCTTTGAAAGCCCTACTTTAAAATAAGGTACAATCCATCCAATTTCTCCTTTAAAAGAAGACATCGTGAAAGTGTTGAAGACCAAGAGACAGATCACTTGAGCACTTACAGCATGCACCAAACTCAGCAGGTGTTTGAAACAATAAATGACTGCGGATGCGAGAAGCCAGGGTCTGCAGGTGTGAGCATGGAAAAGTGCAGCAGGTCAAACAGCTGCTGAGGAGCAGGAAAGTCAATGTTTCGGGCTGAAATCCTTAGTCAGGACTGGGGAGGGGAGCCTAGAAATAAATAAAGTGGTGGTGGGGGCTGGGGGACGGGTAGGAGAGATGGTGATGGGTGGAACCAGGTGAGGGGTATTATGATTGGTCCATGGGAAGGAGATGGACAAGTTAGGTTAGGTCAGGTCAGGGAGGTGGCGGGGGGGTGGACATGGGATAAGGCTGGGGCTGGAGAGATTTTGAAGCTGGTGAAGTCAATGTTGAGGCCACTGGACCATAAGATCCCAAGGTGAAACATCAGGTGTTGTTCCTCCAGTTCACATTTGGTCTCACTCCGTTACTGCAGGCAGCCAAGGATGGACATGCCATCAGGGGCGTGGGAGGAGGAATTAAAACTGACGCCAAACGGTGTTTGATATTAAAAATAAAAGATGATCTTTGCTAATAATTTGCCACAAGATATGCAATTATGGATAACTGTAATGGAATTTCACCAATATAACCCTCACCTTTGTCTAAATCCCGGAAGAGAAGGATTACCTGATGACACAGTATCGTTGCATAGCAATATATTCGGTCACTGAGTGGTAGGACAAGATTTTACTGCATTGCTATGAACAACAGATTTACTCAACAGAGCTAACTTATTAGTCAAATGGATTACAGCAAGTTTACATTTAGTTACAATTGGTGTGCACAAGACTGATAAAATCAACAATATTATTCATTTAAAAAAACATACTTCCAGTTTGGCTTAAGCAGGACTTGAAAATAACCAGTATTATAATGAATATTTTGACAATGGAAAGCTAGAAACCAATAAAACTTAAATTGCATGCAAGAGTGAATTTTACATACAAGTCAACAACTTGGTATCTGATCATGGTAAAAGCATTTGTACTTTTTTTATGACTCACTGAGTAGCATTGTAGAAATCAAGCCCTGCTAGACATCACAAAAGTTAAGATTTTATAGAAGCGCACAAAGTTTCACATTTATCCAACATTCAGACCTTGAAAGCATGGACCAACTTTCTGTACTCAACAAGAATTACTACTTAATGTGAGTAATTAGGCTCTAGCTACAGATAAAGAGTTATAAATTGTCAGCATGTAACACTCCTAACCAAAATTCTAATCCCCCATAAACACCTCTTACACATACAGACAGACCAGGAAAATAGGTCACATACAGAGGGAAGAGAAGTTTTTGCTTCCAAATACTGTTGTTGACATGACGCTATTGTTTTATGCCATCGCATGACTACAAATTGTTTTTCTCTGTTTGCTTCTGCTGATTGGTGAGAGACACAAAAGATGACTGGTTTATGTATAACAAGTTTTTTGCTTATCAGTTGAAAGTCACACCATACAACTGTTGCAGGAAAGATAAACTGGCTTTCTTGAGATATAATGAGTTGGACTGCCGAGAACAGGGAGACCACACCTGATCTGGGGATGAACTAAACATCTCTCTCTCTCTCTCTCTGCATCTTGTTCCCAGCTCCAAGCTACTCAGTTACTCAAGAACCAAAGTTGCTGGCAATCAGAAAGGTTTCTGTTGTTGATGGCTGGCTACTAGTCATTGGACCAATCAGCTTAAGTGTTGCCAGCAAAGGCTGCATCAGTATTCCCCTGCTCCATATTGTCTGCATCTCTGCAATTACTGCTTTTTCAAACAGTTCTTTACATGAAGCCTGGCATGCGTGTCAAATTGCATACTTTTCAAATCTGCAGCAACTCTTTCAAACACAGATTTTAAAAGAGCACTTTCTCATGTCAGTCTGCAGTTCTTAAAAAAAACAAAATATGCCTTATAGATGGTGGATAGCATTTGGGGAGTCAGGAGCCAAGTTACTCACTGCAGCATTCCTAGCATCCGACCTGATCTTGAAGCCACAATACTCATATAGCTAGTCCACTCCTGTTTCTAATCAATGATATCCCCCCCAGAACGTTGATAGTGGGTGATTCGGTGATGGCATTACCATTCAATATCAAGGAGTGATAGTTAGATTCTCTCCTGGTGGAGGTGGTCATTGCCTGGCATCTGTGTGGCACAAATGTTATTTGTCACTTATTAGCCAATGCTGGAGTGTGCCCAGATCTTGCTGCATTCGTGGAACGTGGAACGTGGAACGTGGAACGTGGAACGTGGAACGTGG